AAGACTGGCTTTCTTTTTAAACAGAGTAAGTACCACAAAGTCCCTAATGGTTGGAAAAAACTCAAAATAATATAGTTCACTTTCCTAAAGTGTCAGACTTTGTAGGTGCTACATGGACATGTATTAGTAAGGTTTCTTTCTTTCTTTTGTCTGGTTATTAAAAAATAAAATCTCAACTTGGAAACAGTTTAATTCTATTACCTCACAAACATTTGCTACTCTCTTAACACAAAGAAAGCAAGCCTCAAGTTTCAGACAATTTGATAAGCAACAATATCTAGCTAATTAACTAACTTACTTTCAACTTATTTACAATTAAATCAGCAATTTTTAAATTTTTTTTTAACTGAAGGATAATTGCTTTACAGATGTTTTCCATCAGACCTCAACATGAGTCAGCCATAGGCATACATATACCCCCTCCCTTTTGGCCCTCCCTCCCATCTCCGACCCCACCCCTCTAAGTTGATACAGAGCCCCTGTTTGAGTTTCCTGAGCCACACAGCGAATTCCCGATGTCTATCAATTTTACATATGGTAATATAAGTTTCCATGTTACTCTTTCCATACATCTCACCCTCTCCTCCCCTCTCCCCTTGTCCGTAAGTCTATTCTCTATGTCTGTTTCTCCATTGCTGTCCTGTAAATAAATTCCTCAGCACCATTTTTCTAGATTCTGTATATATGCATTAGAATATGATATTTATCTTTCTCTTTCTGACTCACTTCACTCTGTATAATAGGTTCTAGTTTCATCCACCTCATCAGAACAGACTCAAATGTGTTCCTTTTTTTTAAATGCTGTTTTTTTAATAATATTTATTTTTTTACTGAAGGATAGTTGCTTTATAGAATTTTGTTGTTTTCTATCTAAATGCATTCCCTTTTATGGCTGAGAGTAATATTCCATTGTGTTTATGTATCCATTCATCTATCGATGGACATCTAGGTTGCTTCCATGTTCTGGCTATTGTAAATAGTGCTGCAATAAACAATAGGATACATCTGTCTTTGTCAATTTTGGTTTCCTCAGGGTTTATGCCTAGGAGTGGGATTGCTGGGTCAAATGGTGGTTTCATTCCTAGTTTTTAAAGAAATCTCCATACCACCTTCCATAGTGGCTATATCAATTTACAATTACAGTTACAATTACAATGCAAGAGCATTCCCTTTTCTCTACACCCTCCCCAGCACTTACTGTTTGTAGACTTTTTGATGATGGCCATTCTGACTGGTGTGAGGTGATATAAATAAGTGATTTTTTCAAGTTCTTCTTTCTTACAATACTTACAACACCTTTTACTTATCATACTGGCTTTCCATTTACAGTTGATGAGATATTTCCCTTTAAAATACTTGTAAATATTTTTTAATGAGATGATACAAATAAACACAGATGTCCTTGAATTTGGGGAAAATGTCATAAGCATGCTCAAAAAATCTTTTCATTCTACCAAATGAATGAACAAACAAGTATTAATTTGGCCCCGTTTGTGTGTAGAGAGTAATGGTTAAGGATAACTGAGTATAGACAGTAATGGTTAAAACTAATAGAAAGTAATGTTTAGTAACACATACTCTGGAATCAAAACATCTGGTCTGAAATCTTGGCTCTACCACTTACTAGCTGTGTGACTTGGTAAATTACGTATTTGTGCCTCAGAGTTCTCCATGTAAAACAAGAATGTAACAGTAACCATTCCACACGTTTCTGTAAGGGTTAAATGTAAACTCGTAATGAATACAGAGCCCTTAATGAGAACTCAAAAATGTTATTCAGCTAGTTTCAATTTCCCTATGTAATAAAGACCTGGAGTCCCTTTAATGTTTCCTGAAACTGCTCTATCAACTGTATAATCCTGATAGACTGAATTGAAATTTCACTAGTAGATGTATCTCATCTGGAAAAAACATTCTCTAAGAATCTAAAGTTTACTGCAAGCAATATTTTAAGAAGCAATACTCATTAAATAAATATCTAACAGTAATGTCTTAAGGCCAAAAGGAAATAGAATTAAGAACAGCATATGCAGATGGGGGAAGAAAACAAAGTACCTCAAAAAGTTAACCTATCATACTGGGCACAAAAGATGGATGGTTTCTTAAGAGAAAGGAAAGGGCCACAGAAAAGGAGATCTTGAGGGAAGAAAAGTACCAAATCTTCCTGAAATCCATAACTGTGTCTAGAACCAGGTTTACTTATAATAGTGCATAAACAGGCACAGAACTACTGGATAGTGTTTCTTAAGATTCTCATACTTTCTCACTTTTAATGTTCAAATAGTCAAAATATAGTACCTATCCCCCTTGAAAGAGACAAACAACTGAAAGAGACTTATTAGTAGAACAGAAAAATCTTTGAAAAAATTGATTGAGGAGCAAAGACCTACATGAGTTATCAATCCATACATCTCCTCATCTCTAGCCAGTTTTAGTTTGGAGAATTATCTGATAATGTGACTCAGTTTGAACACCTGCTAAAGCCTCTGCTGCCAACAACCTGGTATCAGGGGTTACAGCAAAATAACTGACATGAATTTCTAAACATCAGAAGCTCTTTTCTTTTCTTTTTCAATGGTAATAATTCTTCTTAAAGGAGAAATACAACATACAGAAAACATATAAAACATATAAAATATATATATAACATACAGAAAACATATAAAACATATAGAAAACATATAAAAAATTTAACCTTTAAATTAGAGGTTGTGTTAAACTTACAAAAACTCTATATATGTATATATATATATATGTATGTTACCCAGATTCACCTGACAAAATCAGTCCTGATTATTCACTGGAAGTACTGATGCTGAAGTTGAAGTTCCAATACTTTGGCCACCTGATGCAAAGAATTGACTCACTGGAAAAGACCCTGATGCTGGGAAAGATTGAAGGCAGGAGGAGAAAGGGACTACAGAGGATGAGATTGTTGGATGGTATCACTGACTCGATGAACATGAGTTTGGTCAGGCTCTGGGAGCTGGTGATGGAAAGGGAAGCCTGGCATGCTACAGTACATGGGGTCACAAAGAGTTGGACACGACTGAGCAACTGAACTGACATTTTTGAGGGAAACAAACTCCCTTTTTACAATAGAACATTCTTAATTTATGACTTGCCTGATTTACCTTTGTGATTAGATTAAGAATATGCATTCTTGGTTGAAATACAGTACTGTATTAGCACATTGTGTCCTCAGGGTATCATGGATGTCCATCACCCCTTCATTAATGACACTATTAATACTTGGCTAAGGTACTGTCCAATTTTCTCACTTTATAATTACTAATTTTCCCTTTGCAATATATGTTGGAGAAATCCTAAATTCAAATACCCTCTGTCTTTACTGACTGCCCTCTAGATTTCAGATCATTTGATGATTCTTGCCTAACCCAATACTTGGAATGATAGCTGCACAATGATAATCTTCTAGCTTCTCCATTTACCACTTGGCATTCTACTATAAACAACTGCCCTATCTTCTCTCTCTTTCTGCTATCAACAGAGAACCAATTCATTTTCCCTCATTGGTTTATAACTTAATACTGAAGTATTGGAGCTTCGGCTTCAGCATCAGTCCTTCCAATGAATATTCAGGACTGATTTTCTTTAAGATTGACTGGTTTGATCTCCTTGCTCAGAAATGTTTATGTGAAATACAACTGGGTTCAATTGCTTTCAGTTTGGAATTTTGGGGAGTCATAGCAGAAACTAAATCTGGGCATTATATACACTCATAGTTACTGGGGTGGTTTTGTTTCTTATTCTTTTCAACAAACAAAGATAAGAAATGTATGTAGGTAGGTATGGATGTACACACACACAAATATATACACACACGGCTTCATATAAATGCATATAACATATATATGTGGATATTTTTAAAGTCATATGTCCATAATGATATTTTGAACTACAATCTATTCACATAGGATTCTCTTTTATTTCCACATCTATGTTTTCTTTTTTTCTTCAGTGAGAACAAGGGCTCCCAAGAACATCAACACCTACATTTATTTTCTTAATCCTATAATACAAATATATCTACAATTTCAGAACTGCTTTGTCCACACTACTGAAAATAAAATCTCAAGAGATTAGTATTTATTTCCAATTATCCTCACTATCTCTTAACATCACATCTTGCATAAAAGAGTATATACAGTCAAATACTGTTTTTGTAAAATGCTAAGTTCTTTCGTTTTCCCTTAAGTGTGATTACAATGTTTATGTGAAGTACAACTGGGCTCATTTGCTTTCAGTGTGGAATTGTACCCCCTTCCCATCCTTAATGATTTAATTTCCTTTTCACACACAGATACCAAAATTCAAAGCTACATGCATAAAGCTATGTTCAGAGGAGTCTCTTTCCCTGTATTCCTTTTTGCTCCATTCCCTCCAACTCTTGTAAGTAACCAACTTCACTGTTTTCTGGTTTATCCTTTCTTCACTTCTGTTTGTAATGGTAAGCTTTCTGTTTTACATAAAAGACAGAATATTGTATAAGCTTATTACACACCTAACATTACCTCCAAATACAGCTGTAAAGTTAGTACTCCATTACACATACGTACCACAGTGGATTTCAATCAATCTTCTATTCTTAGGCTTTCACATGGTTTCAATACTATGCAGTTGCACACAATACTGCAATGGATACTTTATGCACATGCATTTGATACTGGTGGGGGTATGTCTTCAAAGATAAATTTCCCACAAATGGGAGTGCTGGGTAAAAAGTAGGCATACATGTTGTATTCTTAATATTGTTACTCCCTTCAAAATATAGTTGGAAAGTATTATATTTTGATTCACATCTTGGAAATCCTGGTGTACCTTTTTTCAATTTCAGGCATTAGCCAGATGTACTCTCAAAATGCTGGAATTCTCTCTCCCTTTTACTTTGGCCAAACTTGAATAATTTTATAATATTTTAAATTCTGAAAATCTTTGGAGAAAGGAATTTTCAGGAAAAAGTATGTTACTTTACTTACTGAGTGGTGTTGTGTCTGGAGGTGGAAAATTCTCAGTAAAGTTGACGTTACACAAGTCTGTGCTACAGCAGCAGAACCGGTATGTTCCATTCTGAATTGAGGGTGGGGTAGTAGTTACTACACATTCTTCATAGTGACACTCCTGGGGATCACCAATGTGAGACCAACATCCTACAAGCAGATATTAGATATTAATGGAAACAAGTTAGGAGTCCGTAGGATGAGAAAGAACTAAAAGGAAAACAACAAACTTGCAAACAATGTGATGGCGTACAAATAAGTTCTAAAACACTCTTGCAAACCAAAGGGAAACCTCATGTTTTTAAATAACAGAAAAAGGCAGAGCATAAAAAGGCATTTGGGGGTGGCGGGGAAGGAAGCCATTAATAAAATGTTTCACTTCATAATTAACCCAAGAATTATTATTAAAACATCTGTAAGAATACTTTTTGATCTATTGAATTGTTCTGGTTTTTAAAATAATGATATATAATGACAACAAGGATTCAGTAACACTCTCGTACAGCACAGGAGGGAAGGTAAACATATTCAACATTTCTAGAATGCTACATGGCAGTTTTTATGAAGAGCCTTTAAAATATTCATTTTTGGTCATCTAAAAATTGTACTTCAAGAAGTCTATCCCATATGTATGGCTAAGTCCTTCTGCTGTTCACCTGAAACTACCACAACATTGTTAATCAGCTATATACCAATACAAAATATTTTTGGTGTTTAAAAAAATATATTTAAAAAAAAAGTCTGTTCTGGGGCTTCCCTGGTGGCTCAGTGGTAAAGAATCTGACTGCCAATGCAGGAGACACAGGTTCGATCCCTGATCTGGGAGGATCCTGCATGACACGGAGCAACTAAGCCCATGAGCCACAAATACTGAACCTGTGCTCTCTGAGTCCATGCTCCACAAGAGAAGCCACCACCATGAGACACCCACGCACTGCAACGGAGAGCCGCCTCCGCTCACTGAAACTAGAGAAAAGCCCATGCCCCGGCAAAGGAAACTCAACGCAGTCACAAATAAAGTGGGGTTTTTTTGATTGTTGAAATAAAATTACAATAGGCAGAGCTTTTAATGGAGCAACGTATTGAACACTGCAGATTAGACAAAAGCCCTGGAATTGGAAGTAAAACCCATCATTGAACAGAAGGCCTTGGTTGCTGACAGAATCTCGACTTAAGACAAACCTAAGGGAGTCAGTAATGAAGTGCAGGATTGGTAAACACGAGCAGATATCGCAGATGCCAACCATTAGATGGTTTTCCCATGCAGGGTAAAGTTTTTTTTAAAAAGATCTATTCGAGATACAAAGAATTATGTTCAACGATATTCACTGAAGAATTATATTACAATGAAAACCGGAAAACAACATAATGTCCAACAAAAGAGTAATGTTTAAGTAAACTGAGATACACGTATACAATGAAATACTATGTAGATATTGAAAGTGTTCTCAAAGAGACTTTAAAGACAGGAAAATATCCATGATAGAATTTAAAATGGGAAAACTGTATATTAAATTTTTTATATACTATTACAATTTGGAAAAAAAAATTACACAAACATATAACATAGGAGTACAAATGTAGTACCTGAAGGAAATAAACCAATAGAGTTAAAAAAATTTTTTTAAGGTATAGAATTGTAAGCATTTCTCTTACAGTTTTCTGTGTTTTCTAAACTTCATAGAATGCTATTATATTGTTAACATTGTAATAACATACTATTAAAATTGGCTAAAAATCAATTACTTTGTAAATTTGGAGATCGTTTGTGAATACATACATGAATACATAGTTTTAAATTTACTGTTCTCCTGCAGACGGTGTTATAATCTTATCTCCATGCCCTCTTAGATATTCTTCAATTGTATGAAACAGTTATTTCAGGTAAGAAAAGTACTACTTGCCTTGTTTTACCAGATTTATGTCCCCTTTTGATTTCTCCCAAAGGCCATAGCAGGTGCTACCTTTTGAGCATAATATTGTTCCGTTTTCATGAGAGATTCTACTTTCACCTATCCCAAGGTCTTGTTGATATGGATCTTTAAATGCACAGAGACGTTCTTGATTCTGAGAAGCTAAAACAAAGGAAAAAATTACAAATTTGTTTTATGATAATTTTTTTGTGCAAAAAATTATTACAAAAGCCTTTATAATCTTTTTGAAAGCCACTTTAAATTTCCCTACTAAATTTCTAACAAGGTGTGGGAACTGAGAAATTTTGTACATATTTAGTAATATTTTCTATTAATTTGTTAACTTCCAAACAAGAAGCAAACTTACTGAATACACATTTCTCAAAAGCAATACCCTCTTATACAAATTATTCTCATCACTCTATGGAATATTAATGTCTGAATTAACAAATATCAGAAAAATGTCCATGCTCTAAATTATTAAAAATTCAAAATAAAGAAATCAATAAACCTAGAAGGCTTTATAAAAGCTTTGGAAATTCTACAGTATTCCCTTCTACCATCTTTTACAGCAAATTGTAAAATGCTAAACCTAACATCATTAGCCATATTAAACTGAGGATGAAGACTGACTGCAAATGGATACATGATTTTTATCTGGAGAGATGGAACTGTTCCAAAATTACATGTGGTAATGTTTGCATAGCTTTGTAAAATTTATCAGAAAAAAAAAAAAAAAACTCTTCACTTAAAATGAGTGCATTTCATGCTATATAAATGATACCTTAATAAACCTGTTTTTAAATATTAAGCCTATCAGTGGTCAAAAAGAAAATGATTTTCCATTATTTAAAATATCAATAAAATAGCCAGAAAAAGAAATACTTAATAATCCCTTATACTGAAGGTCATCTGAATGAATTTTCAATGCCGGTCAAGCTTTCTCCATATACATAATCGATTTAACTAATATCAGCACATTTGCCACATAATTTATCAGCTAACAAACATTTACCAACACTGCTCAGACTACCAAAGAGGTAAATGGTCATCAAAAGCAACGGCTGATCTTTATTTGGTTTCATAAAGCAGACATTCCTAATGGTTTGACTAGCTAGTAGCCAGGCTCTTCTGTCCATGGAATTTCTAGGCAATTAATACTGGAGTGGGTTGCCATTTCCCACTCCAGGGGGATCTTCCTAACCCAGGAATCAAATCTGTGTCCCCTGCATTGACAGGTGAATTCTTTACCACTGCACCACCTGGGAAGCCCATGTTAGCACTACAGATGATCTATTAAAATAATGTTTCTCGAACAAAACTAAGGACCAAACCCTAGAAAAGAAATGAAAGACCAAAAACTGTGGGCTCAAGTCCATTCAGAAACACAGACCTGTCATATTTATTACAACAGACCACATTCAAAGTACTGGTCTAAATAAATAGGGGATTTAAAGTATAGAATTCCACACCTCAAGAATCTTCGTCTACTTGGAGACAGAGAGTAATTACTTAAAAAAAAAATTTGGTTTCCACAATTAAAAATTACTTCAGGCAGTCTTCTAGAAGATATCCACTAATACCAAATAAATGGCCAGAAAATACAGTATATTCTTTTTCATAAAAACTAATCTTAGGACACTAGCCTGATTATGATTCTACCATATTTTACCATAAGTAGTCACATATTCAAATTCCTTTAATGACAAACATTTATATACCTTGCATATTTAATCAGTATTTCCTTAGATATATCCTAATTTGCAAACTTCACCAAATTATTATTAAAATCAAAATAAAATATATCTCTACATATAAACTACATACAGCGCAGAGACTGATACTTAAAAGATGCAAACTAAAAACAAAATTCTATAATGTAGATCTTTCAAAAAAGTATGCCTATTTTAACTCCCTATCCCCGTTTCTTGATTAAAATTAAAAGCTCCTTAGCTACTACCACTTGCTGAAATTATATAACCCACTCTGCTTCCCTTTTCATCATTATTGTTAGAAATTTTGTCATTGTTAGAAAGGTCAGAATGAATTTATAAACTAAACATCTCTAGTTTTTCACAACCAAGATAGTCTATTTTTTCTCGTCCTCTTCTGTTGTTATCCATTTTGTCTAGAATTTTGTTTTGAATATTGAGTTAATGAATAGGGATCTAACCATACCTAGAAGTAGAAGAAAATGCCTTATTTAATTTAAAAATAAAAAGAAAACAAATATTATCATTAAATGAGGCAAAATAAAAATTTTTCCTCTGCCTGGATTTCTTTTACAATAGAAAGGCAGCAAAAGGAATGATCATAACGGCATAAATTTTTAGTGCCATTATTAAATAATTCAATGAATGAAACCTAGAAGACTCCTTATATAGAAAGACAATAAACAAATCCAATCTCCTCTATGTTTCCCTCTCTCTTCACCCCAGTATCATCAAAGCAATAAAGGTACAAATGTACATACACTGAGTCATACCTTTATTGTCTCTCAGTTTTCACTAATTTTTTTCTTAAAATTACTTCAGCCTGGGCTCCCCGGAGGTCTAGTGATTAAGAATCCACCTGCCAAAGCACAGGACACGAGTTTGATCCCTGGTCCAGGAAGATCCTACATGTCCCGGAGCAGATAAGCCCAGCAACCTCAACTACTGCACCCATCTGATGCAACTACTGATGCCCACAAGCTCTACTGCCCATGCCCCACAACAGACAAGCCACCACAATGAGAAACTCCCAACGAAGAACAGGGCTGCTCAGTGCAGCTAAAGCAAGCCCACTCGCAGCAATGATCACCCAGCATAGCCGAAATAAAAAAGTTTAATTAGTATAGGGAAAATATACTTTGCTATTTTAACTCTTTTGAATTTTGAGTCAGCAAATTACCATACAAAATAAAGATGTCTAGCAAACTACCTTTTGGTCAAATCAAAGAAAAGAAATCCGTTTCATAGAAGACTGCTTATAGTTTTTTAAATGCTCATTGTTGGAATGTTTCAGCAGTACCTCTATACAAAGTTTTGGATTCTTCATAAATTGTGTAGGCAAAGTAGGCATGAAATAAAAAGTACTATGAGAGAGTCTAGCCTAGCATCATACTGTCACATACAGAGACCTGATTATTTACATGTGGTTTTCTAAATTTGTCAATAGCTAGGCAAACCTTGATCAGTTGAGTATAGTCAATTAGCTCTCTTAAGAGACATCCTTACCAAGTACTGTGATTAGACATGAGTCTTTTAAAACCTGTTCTCATTTTAAAGAGGTGATATTTGGCTGTAATAAGCACTAAAACAATTTTGATTAACATAACTGTTAAAATGCAAATAGTCACATCCAAACTGCTAACAGAGATATATTCATAAAAGATAAAGTGGACCATGCTTAAAATCTGTTAGCTCCCTGAAGTTGCTAGAAAGAAGTTTAAGCACTTCATTTAGCATTGAAAGTCATTTATAATCAAGACCCAATAGGAACATGACCAATTTTGTGGGCCCTAGGAACTTCTGTTTTCATGGGACCTTTCCTCCATTAAAAAGTATACTTTATAAGTGCATTGGGAGAAAGACATTAATACTAAATATTAGAACATTTTCTTCAACAATAAACTTCATTTTTTTCCTTCTGATTTTAAAACAAATTAAAACATTTTCATGGGCCTGCAAAAATATTATGGGCCCTGGACTCTATGCCTACTGTGCCTAATGGGTAAGTCAGCCCTAGGACTCAATCTACTACTTCCCATTCACGCTATTCCTCCATTCTTCACTTTCTAACACACGAATATGCCAAGGGCTTTTCAGGCCTTTCACACATAATATACCCAATACCCAGAATGCCATTTTTCATGCTCTGTTCTAGCATTATATGGTACTATATTTTATCAATTTAACATACATATCTTCCCCACCAAGCAGGAGGGTGACTTCACTTGTTCCCAGAGTCAGATTAGGTTTACATAACTCATTTTGTATACCACAAATCCCCAACAGTGTTATGGGCAGTTTTCATATCTACATGAACTATACTCAATATCATATTCCCACTCAAAGATTATATAACTAGGCAATAATCATCTAGTCCTTTGACCATGAAACTATAAATGAAGCAATAAAAATAGTATTAGTGTAGAGACAACATATACTATATTGCTCCATATGCATACAAAACTGAAAATAAAGTAAACATTTTCTGTTTACATAAGCTTTCTGGGATCTGCATTTGCTAATCATATGCAGCATTTAATTCCCAGGAACAGATGTGGCATGTCTAGAATACTCAGCTGTCTTACATTTCCCACTCTGTGACATAACATTATCAAGAATGCAGGGTATAAAGGTATGGCATAGTTTCATCATGTCAGCATCAGTTAACTGTCACTACAGACATAAATCAGCATCATTATGCTTACACTGAAAAATACTACCTACTTGCTTTTTTATGAAGAAAAGAAAAGGAAAAAAGGCTGTACTGAAAATATTAACTCTGCGTGTACTCAGTCATGTCCGATTCTTTACAACCCCATGGACGGTATAGCCTAACAAGCTCCTCTGTTCCTGGAATTTTCCAGGCAAGAATCTTGGGAGCGGGTTGCCATTTCTTCCTCCAGGGGATCTTCCCCGGGGACTCGAACCTGTGTCTCTGACATTGGCTGACAAATTCTTTACCACTGCATCACCTGAGAAGTGAAACTATTAACTATTTGCCCTTTAAAAACAAACAAACAAACAAATACTATCATATTTTTTGAACTTTCATGAAAATGTATTCATGATTACTTATATGTTTCAAAAACAAAAGTTTTTGAATGATTTTTATGTTAGATTTTTAACTTTTAAATACCAATATATCCATAGGTAATTGAAAAGAAATACAGGGAAGAGAATTTTATTTGCAAGCTAGGTTCCCACTTCTCCATTCTTTGGCTACTGAATAAAACTTATGCTAGTCCAGTCTAGAAAAGGAAAGAAAAGAAAAACAGAGAGTAGTCCAATACCTTTCTCATCAATGCAAACATCCCACACAATCACTATACAGTAGTAACAAAACCAAGAGATTGATATTAGCATAATCCAGAGTTTAATCAGATTTTATCAGTTATACATGTACTTATCTGTGTGAGAAAAAATTTAAGCAATTCTGTCATATACTATCAC